TCTCCCAATAATAATAATAACAATGAGTGGATGAACCAGAATCAATATCCGAAGTTCCCTCTTACTGCTGACTCAACAACAACAACAACAACAACCACAAGTCCACCATAGCTATGGCTTCCCTCCTTCTTCCTCCTCTCACATGCCTAGGCTATGGCGGACTACTGAGGGCCCTGCCCTCCTGTCCAAAGGACAACCCAAAGCAGCTATGGCACTGCACTCCTGTCCAAAGGACAACCCAAAGCTGCTATGCCGCTGCTGACTAAGCCGCCATGCCTGACTCTGCCTCGAGCTTCCTTGGTGTGGCATTACCCCAACTGGGGCCTTCCAGATGCAGCGCCCAACAAGGTGATGAAGATGGTGTCCACCATAGCCAGGTACGTGCCTCGCCACTTTCCTCCTTCGCCCCCTTCTTCCTCCTCCTCAGGCTGGGCTGCTCGCCATAGCCAGGCTGAGCGCCCAGCTGCCCTTCACCTGCAGGCAGCGCTGTACCAGTCCAGCGCTGTGGTCCAGCAGCATGTCGCCAATCCTTGCATACTGCAAATGAGTAGCTCCTCCGGAAGATATAGCGGCCTACTGGCCTCTTGGGTGGTGACTTCCTAGGCCGAGCGACCTCCCAGCAACCGGTACCTCCTCCCTTTCGGAGGGAAACATCATTGCAGGCTCTGCTATCGTCTGGACAGGCCCTAGACCCGGGCTACTTGGACTGGTACCGGCCTACCTCTATCCTACCGCTACTGGGCCTCTAAAAATGCCAACTTTTTGTCTTCTTCTGCTCGGCCTCCAGTACCCGACACTCCTACCACTACTTGAGTGGTACCGGCCTACCTGCTACTTGAGTGTTTTTCCCCGCTGCTCTAAGTGTCGCGGGCCTACCCCCGTTACTTGAGTGTCTTCCTTGCTGCAAAGTCACGGCCACAGGTAAGTACCGGCCCTGCGGGGCCTTTCAACCAACAAGTACCCTTGCGGGTCACACACACACTCAGCCGACAAACACTCAGACAGGCATGCAAACCAGCAGGGACGCACACACACACAGACTTGGAAACCACAGCAGAATGCGGGAATCTCAGTAAGGCATTCATTCCAGCGGCAAATCCCAGAAATCAGCAGTGTTCTCAGTCTGTGTTTTTGGCGGGTCATTACAAAATGATGAATAACGGAGAGCACACGTGGAACCAAATGTGTGCCTGGCCTGGAAAAATGGTCGTGGGCCCTCCAGGTCGCTCACCAAAAATGGGTGTGCGGTCTGGGGCCCTGGGAATAAATTGTGTTTGTGTCTGAACACCAGTTGGAACCTTCCCTTCCCCTTTATCCAACGATCCTGACTTGCATCATCAAGCAGCAGTGTTTGTTGTATTCACAACGGCCCACCCCTGTGCCCAGGAACCCGCTTATGACCAGTTCTGCCCGCTATTTATCCTCGCGTGCAACGAGCCTTACATCCGATTGATCTGGCTGATCAAGAGGCAATTTAAGGACAGCCCCCGAAGTCAGGAATTATTTATCGTCGCAGACAGGACGACGATCACATCCAGAGATCAGATCCCGCCAGAGGTTCTTTATATACGGTCTGGTAGACGTCTCACATAGGACTGGTCAGTCCACGTTCCCTCTACAGCGCAGCAAGAGCTTTAAAGGACAAAGCAGCAAAGCATGCGTGCTCCACTCCCACGGGTTGGCATGGTGACCGTGACCCGTGCTTCGACCAGGGCCCTTTAGAGGCTCCGCCCTGTCCTTCCAGACACGCCACCAGGAAGGATGTGGATTCTCAAGGTAGAGAGCTCACGACTACTGAACCAGAACAGGACACTCAGGTTGGACTCACTTCCTCACGGTAAGAAGAAATTGAGATTGGAAGATAAGGTAAGGGAACAACGAACCTGAAGATAGCTGCCCCCAACCACAGATTTCTCACCAATTGAGCCGACGTGTATTTTCATGACCGGTCACAGCCTTGTACCACACACAATACAATGGAGTGCCACCTCAGCCAAAATGCCATGTCAGCATGCTGCAATAAATTGCAGTTTCCCAGTGGGGCTGTACACTAGTGTTTGGCTTTGTAGTTTGTTTTCTTGTTTTGAGCCCTGCGGGACTTGTAATTTGTATATGTTTTGTTCGTTAGTTTTGAGTCCTATGGGACTTGATCCCTGAGTCTGTCACTAGCAGTTTCTTTTTGGTAGCCTTAGGCCATTCAGCCTTTTCCTTTTGCCTCGTCATAGGTCTAGGTCCCCTTTTCCCCCTGTTTCCGTCTAGATGCAGATGAGTATTAGGTTGTTGCCTTTTGGAGTCCGTCGTAGGTCTAGGCAGAGGGTAGAAGTAGTGGGCAGGAAATTAGTTTCGGGTCTTTCACGTTTTCGTTGGCTGGGGAAACTCTGCCCATCCGTTGTTGGAGCGCTGCTGCTCTATTTTGGGCGAGGTCATCTTCTTCCTCGAAGCCCAGCCATAGCTGGGGTTGGAAAACGAAGTTGAAGATTGCACTGCTGCTATTTCGCAGCTCTGCATGAGAGCTTCCACAGGACTGTGTTGTTGGGTTTGGGTGCTGCCATCTTCCACTTGGCAGCCATATCTGCTGTTCCTCCTCTTGAGGGACTTCGTCTTCTTCGAAGTGCTGGATCGGTTGTCTCCTTCTTCATCAGGACTTCCAGCGCTGCACTTCGGTGCAGGTGCTGAGCTGGCGCTGTTATTATTAGGGTTGCTGGTTTAGATTGGCACGTTGTGACAACTGTGGGGTTACTGCTGCTACGGCAGCCATAGCCAGGGGTATGAGGTGGCGAGGAGGAAGAAGAAGACTCCTGCATACTTCGTTGAACACTTGTTTCTGGTTGTTCGAGGTTGTTGTAAACGCGGTTGTGATTCTTGGAACATGTACTCTGGATTGACTGGAGGAGGACGAGGGATTGCAGAATTGAAATTCGTTTTTCAATTCTCTGTGTGTTTTGAGCTTCCGTTGTGCATATTCTCTCTCCGCTTTTGTGTGGATTTGCCTCCTCCGAGTCTACTCTGTAATTTGCGTGTATGGGAATGTGTGAATTAGTTGTGCATGGAAGTTCAATCGGGTACGTAATAATGCTCTCATCATCCCACGTACATCTGCTGTTGCCACAGCTCCCACGCTGTCGCCACAGCCTTCCTGCCAGCCTCCCCTCTACCCGGGAGCGGCAATTTATGCCAGCGCCAATGTATCCTCACTGCGTAGAAGCTTCGTCAGCGCACCAAGTAACAAAGTCGCCAGTGCCGGTAACGGTGAATATCAAACCAGCTCCGATAGCAAGGAATATGAGCGAGAGCGATAGACAGAAAACCAAGTTGCAAAATCAAGAAGTAGTCTAGATAGTCATGTACCAAGCAGAGAGCACAATGCACCAAGAATTCATCCAAATAAGAGCAATACAATGAACTCGAGTGCCAATGCCGACGCTCCCTGGTCACACCAACACTGTATCCAATGTCGCTCCTACTGTCTGGCGCCCAGCGCTCAGCCTATCTATCCTATCTACGTTCTTGCGACATGGTCACATTGAAGTTGAAGGCCGATGTACGTGACGTCAACACCAATGCCGACCACCAGCATACACCAGGTACGTCCTCTCTCGTTCCCTCATCACCCCTCGTCTCCCCATCTCATGCGCCTCCTACATGAAGACCACCATCGCCATCACCAGCACCCGCACACTCGGCCCGGCTATGGCTGCCGTGCACCCACTGACACCAAGTGTCTGTGCCCAGGCCCAGTTTCAGATACTGGCCTGGGCCTTGTGCAGTTAGGCACGTCCAGGCAGCCACCCAGCCTCAAAGCGTTTGCAGCTTTCTCATTCTCTCGCGGCACATGTGTGACGACAATGCTGCTTCCTCATTGGCCCGTAACCAGTCCGTGATGTGTCGGCCTCACACAGCGTGTGCCCAGGGCACCACCACCTGAGCCCTGAGCTCAACTGTACAGCGCAGGCCTTTTGCTTCTGGAAGAGCCTGGAGGCTCACGTTGCTTTGTAACCAACTGGCGTGATGCAACTGTCTGAGTACCCATATATGGGAAAATGTCGAAAACAGCTATGTTAGTCCCCAGGCGGCCCGGCTGGGGGATGGTCGCCCGGATACTCTCCCGGGCGGCCCGGGTCGGGCAGGGTCCCGGGCTATCCCAGCACATAATATTTAAAAAAATAGAGAGAAAAAAAAATCAAATTGCAATACAAACCACTTTTGGCTGAGGGTCACCTCGAAATTCCTTGTTAATTTTAAGATAAAAAATAAATGAGAAAACATGAGTCAAAAATTCCAAATGTACCCTTTTCACCCCTTTTGTCACTGTTTAATAGTGTTTATACCCCCCAACACCCCCTGGATGACCCATCACCGAAACCGGAGTTAAGACCGGATTCTGACTGCTTAGGCCAAGCGCAGTCCTGGCCTGAAGTCCTCTTTTTTTTTTTTGGGATCCTTGCCTCTTTTTTGACCCGTCTAGTTTTGCCGGGCGACCCCCCCTCTGCCCAACTGGCCCGGGCGTGCCAGGCCGGGCGGCGGTCTACTGTAGGAAAACAGGCCTCACATGGATATTCAGGCCCGCCTTCACTTAGGGTGGGCACGGGCTTGCTAGGGGCCGCAGCCCAGAACACTTGTATGTCTGACAAGGGCCGCACGAGGGCCCATTCCTCGCAGAGGATTTGGGGAAGAAAAAAGGTGGGCAGAAGCGGCCGTTTTCGGATTGCAGATCTTGGCCATGGCCAAAGACGATGGCCTTCAGAAGGATCTACCTTCTTCACCTGAATAGAACGTCCGGTCATTATAGCTGTATTTGGGCCAACTTTCGGTCTAGATTTGGTAATAATGACCGAGCGTTCTATTCGGGTGAAGACGGTAATCACTTATACAGCTTCCCTTTTGAATCCCGCGGTCAGATGTGCCATCAGCGGTTTCCCATAGTGGGTCTGGTCTGCTGCACATTTGAAATGGGACTTATTGGACTTGCCTCCCTTATCCCTACTGTCTTCTCCCGAAGGACCCGAACACAATGTGCCCTCATTTTAACTACACAGAACCATAAAGATAGCTTGTATACGTTCGTTATCAGGGTGCATTGTGCTAAGGGGAGGGCCATAGGGGAAGTGTGGGAGGCATCGTGAATGCTGCTGAGTCCGAATTCCAATTTGCCTCCGTCGGATGAGGGAGGTTCATGAACACATTGCTTTCCAACTCACCTCCAATCACAAAGGAAAACTCAGCAGCCTTCATGCCTCCCTCCGAAGAGAGAAAGCAACGAGGGAGGCATGAATGCTCATGAGTTTTTCTTTGTGATGGGAGGGGGACAAGTTCTATTTTTTTTAATGAAAAGGGACTCAGCAGTGACCCTTTCCATAAAAATGAGGGTGGGAAACGGGTCCAGCGACCCTCCGTACAAATAATAGGGGGTGGTCCAACTCTTGGAGGATGCTCGCCACCAAGAGATTCGAGCCATCCGAAAAGGGGATGGTCCAACCCTTGGAGGGTGCGCTTATCACCTCCAAGCGTCAGCCGTGCACCGATGTTTCTCCTTCCTTCCTTCCTTTATTTATTTATGAAGAGCTTGTAATTTCATTGAGTATCTAATTTTGCTCAAATGGTCATATTTATATTTATTTATTTGTAAATACCATGGTTACGCCGGACCCGGACCCGGACCGGACCGGACCCGAAACCGGATGTACGTCCGGAACAGTCCGGACGTCTGGAATTCTGGACATGATCCGGACCTTCCGGACATAGCGGACGCGGATGGTCCGGAAAAAAAGAAAAAAAAATGCCAGGGTGGGTAACATTGCGTATACAGCCCTGCCGAGGGTGCTGTCATCGGTGTGACCTGTATCATACCTTTCACAGCACGACCAACACCCTGCACCCCTCTCCGCCTTGTCCTTCTTGATGTCCACTTCATCTCCGAGATCCTCCCTCTAAGCCGCCGTTGTCCTCCCTCCTCTGCGTCTCCTGCGTCATCCACAACTCCTCCCTCCTCCACGAC